TGCAACTTCAGGTCACCAACGAGAGTAATACCTCCACCAATGTTCCGGTCTCTATGCGAGAAACCGGTTTGTCAAACAACTCAGAGAAGAAGTGGTCACGCTTGATCCCATAACGCCTTTCCACGGATAGCGACAATTCCCGTATTTGGATATTCCAACGACCGCGCCAGCTTGTCATGCTTGACACATAGGCGTTCTTTGAAGAGGCATTGCATGTGCCTCTAACCGGGCAATTTAATCCCAGCCAAACGGAGAGCGTTCGCTGAGAAGCTCAAGTGGATGAAATCTTCAAGCCTCAATCGGCCACAAACCCTGACAAGCTCGAACGAGCAAGAAGGCAGCCAAATGTGCAAAAGACCTGCAGGCACGGGTCCCGCTACCAAACGCTAAATGTGATAAAATGGGGGCCTGATAACAGGGATGTTCGATAGGCGTCTACTATGGGTTGTGTAGACGGGGAAAGCAGAAGGCCAGTTCTATTGAGTTCTGAGTCCTTTGGAAGATTTTCCTGGCCGGTCGATATGTGAGGGCAACGTTAGAGGATTGCCTAGTGAGGAGCGCCCAGCTCCTCCCAGGTCTATATCTCCTAATGTGGATAACTGAACCTTGCTCCGACATTGAGGAGCATCGTGCGGCCCTATACTGAGCGTCTGTCCTCCACCCTCTGCAAACGTCGGGTCGCCAGTCTCAGATCCATAAATGCCCAACAGTTTGTCATGGTTGGTCTCAGTCCGGCACAATTATAGACATCATCTTTAGGGGCCAGGCAACACCATTGCTGCACTTAGCCACCGTTCTGTCCGTCTCTCCACACTCTCTTGGTTCTCGCTGCCTGTCACCTGCAAGCAATCTCATACCAATGCCCGCTGGGCATGTCTGGCGCACAGAAGTGACTAGAAGCAGAGCTACCAACCCGAATCTGAGTCAGCAACAAGTCTATCTAACATTGTTGGATGGAAAACTCACCCGGGTATCTGGTCTCGAGGGCAGCAGACAGATACTCACTGTGTCGCCAACGTTGATGCAACATTTCTCTGTCGGACAGCCTTTATAAGGCCAAAGCGCTGTGTTTGAAGCTGAGCCTGAAGGGCATGGATGGGAAGATGGCATAGTGCTGAAGATGATGAGTATGGTCGAGACCGGAAGAAGTTTCATCGGAGACCACATAGGAGCAGCGCAAAGTTTCTACCCGAATCCTCGAAATGGACTTGAACGTGATGAGTGCGGTGGGATTGGGCGAGATGAGAAGCTCCCAAAGTCTTGTACAAAAACAAAGTCAAAGAACGCCAAGTCGAAGCGAGATAGACATGTTCTGACATTAGAATCAAACGCGACTGCCAGCCGAGCGCTCAGTCCTACATAATACCAGCTGGACTTTTGTGGAAGTGGACCTTCACTTTCAAGTATAGCTCAGGTTCTAGTATCTACTCCTCAAAGGCACACTATTGCATTAGAGACAATAAAGGTGAACAGTTTGTGTGTTCACAAGAAAACCGTTAGCTAAGAGACATCGTTCCAGAATCCATGTGATGGATCCTCGATCAGCCGCTCCCTGTCGAGTTTCTCACAGTCGACGCAGCAGAACGCTTTGTGCAACTCGACTGTGATAATTATCTCGACATTCTTCAGCCATCCTGAGCCATCAAGCAGCCTTGTCCCTGGCACGTGGCGATAAGGCGGTTATCCCCTTATCGAGGATGCCGCGAAAGGGGATAGTATTAATACGCCGTCCTCCCCTTCCTACATGCGCATTCAGGAGACGAGACACTTGATCACCGGCTTCAATGCCTGCATAATAATCACAGTCGCCCTCACCCCATCAGCTCTTGACAGTTGCGGCTCTGAGATCGACCTTGAAAGCAAGCAACATGTTCACCTCGGCCGCCTGGAAGTGTGCTCCTTGCTAAGCTCAACCCATAACCAGAACACGAGCCTTGGTCTGCGACGGCGCCGCTTGCGACAATGGACGGATTGTTCACCCTGCTCAGTCTGAGCATTGTTATGGCCGTGGCATCCTTTCTTGCAGGAATCCTTCCACTGTCCTTAACCCTCTCACAGCCACAATTACGGTTCATATCAACAATTGGCATGGGCGTTCTTGTGGGTACGTCTTTGGTTGTCATTATCCCTGAAGGTGTCGAGACTCTCTACAGCGCCTCTGAAGTTGGACATGCACATCCACAGCTCAAAAGACATGTCTCTGTACGCGAGATAGACATTCGATGGAGTCAGCCTTTTGCAGCAGAGCCGCTTCACAAGATCCTGACGCGCGAATCGGTGGACAATCTAAATCCTTTTGATGTCCCCGGCCCTGTCATTCCATCGGAACTGGGACCGCCACCACGTACTCCTACAAAGCCTGGTGTGGTCGGTGCATTGGGTGGCGAGAGCAAAGATGACAAGAAGGCGGAAGCAGAGCACGATGGCGAGGAGGAGGATGAAGAGGAGGTCCACAAGGAATCCCACCATGCGTGGATTGGAGTTGCCTTGTTGGCAGGATTTATGCTCATGTACCTGATTGACAAAGTGCCGCAGTATAGCCAGCCAGCAAAGCAGAAGGCCAGGACGCATCATATTGCGCTGAACAACTTGGGTCGCAGGTTCAACTTCACTACATCTTTGGATCGCGACGATGAAGCCGACTCGTTCATCGACTCGACCGAAGGGCGCCATGTCCACCAAAGGAGCTTTGCAACCACCATAGGTCTGGTCATTCATGCAGCAGCCGATGGGATAGCATTGGGAGCGTCTTCGACCGCAACAACATCTGGACTGAGCTTTGTGATATTCTTTGCCATCATGATTCACAAGGCACCGGCAGCCTTTGGGCTGACGTCGGTGCTAGTCAAGCAAGGGCTCTCTAAAAGAGCAGCTAGAGGGCATCTTATCCTCTTTAGTCTGGCTGCGCCTACGGGAGCTATCTTTACATGGTTGCTTGCTCACCTTCTTGGCGGTGGTCGAAACCAGAGCGCACAGACAACCAGGTGGTGGACGGGGATGCTGTTGCTGTTCTCTGCAGGGACTTTCCTCTACGTGGCTATGCATGCGATGCAGGAGACCTCCGGCGCTCTCCACGAGGGGATGAATGGGCATGCCAATGGCTACATTGACGGGCGCGAAGGCACCCAAAGTGAGCCCCGGCCGTCTTGGAAGGATCTAGGAGCAGCTTGCTTTGGAATGATTCTCCCATTGTTTTTACAGGTTGGACATGCTCATTGATCGGATCGCCTTTCTTCTCTAGGGTTTGTTGCCGGCACCCTCGGTTTGTCTTGGGGTCCAAGTTCAAGAGTACGGCGAGTGTCCAGGGCGCTGATGAGTTCAAGGCGATGGAAACGACATGATCAATGCATTGGGCTTTATCAGTTTATGTCACCGAGAAGCCACTCCATGAAACTAGTCTACTGAACCAAGACCATGAGAAATATTCGGAGCCAAGTTGAATCTGGGATTTTTGAGGTGTGGCCGTTGAAACGTGGGATACCACTAAAGGTGCCACCAGAAGTGGACGTCTAAGCCTCGGGAGATCATGTCTGGCCTTTGCGGGATGTGTTAATACTTGTCGGCGTATCATCTCCTGCCTGTCGTGCACTGGTCGGGCATCGTTGTGGACGATTGTCAACTCAACCATGGGTTCAACATCGGAAAGGGCACCGTTCTTTCATGCTCAACCTGGATAACGCGTATTGTAGGGGAGACTATATGATATGTATGCAGCATGGCGTGTGGAATCTTCGTCTAGCACCTCAGGATGTCGGGGTGTGGCCATTTGGACAGGATCTAGACTTGACGATCTCTCGGCGAACAGATGGGAAGAGTGGCGGACGGCGGTCAGTGGCCAGAGTCGAGACACGACTGGGCAGCTATGGACATGTTAGGCATGCACTTTTGGGAAAAATGGTCAGAATGGTGCATAGTTCAGGCACCACCACTGCGCGGACCCCGCCCCGAGAGGCCAATTAACCCCGACCTGCAGCAGTCTTGAGCAGGCTAGCAATGGGCGCCTGGGCTACTTCTGCACTCCTTGTTTCCTTGCTGCGGGTTGCGCTGGTGGCTCCCTCCTGCCATCATTTCAGCCTCTCGTCTCGCTGGGGATGCTCATGGATGCTCCCCCTCGGTCTGATGAGTAGTTGACCCTTTCTGCACATGACCAGCCGACCCTTGGTGCCCTGTCCCCCGTACCAACATAACCATTCATTCCCGAATTCCCCCTCTTGCCTACGACCGTTAAACCCGCTAACCATCCATACCTTTCGATATTAACACTGGTGACACCACCCACAAGCTTTCGTTTTCTAAAGCTCCCTCCCCCAACGCCAGACATACCGTAAAGCCACACTGCTTACAAAAACCAAGACCCAACCTCGCACGCCTGCGACCGATCTCGCCGCCACCTCCCTCCCTCTCCCTCGGATCTCCATATCCTCCGGTTCATTCCTCTCCTGGGCTAGACCTTGGCTCTCATGTCATAAGCGCTTTTCTGCCAACGATACACCTGCAGCTCGAGTCGTCCTCTTCCGTTGCCCTCTACCCTGACGCTGACATGGCATGATCAGGAGAGATTTATAATATAGCCTCGAACAGGAGTCCTCTCGTTGTCTATCCGAAAGCCCTCTCGCTGCTTCCTTCACGGTCCTTTTCCGAGGCTTACGACTTCGTGGCCAGACAGTGCAGGTCCTGTCGAGGAGACGTCACCCACCCCCGAACCGACTTGCCTTGTATTGAAAGAGATGGAACTGGATGACGACCGTCGCTCCATGTCTATGGACAGACCTCTATCGCCGAGACCGTCCAGATCTGTCACGATAGACCCAAATCAACTTGCCAGTCGAGCCGTCTACAGTAACACAAGACCAGAATCCCTGGATCAAGAACATGACTTTCCTTTCACGGCGCCCCACGGTAACATCCCTCAGATAGACCCCCTTCGGTCTGCCAGACCTCCCCGGCATAGTGTGTCGCATCCGCGTCCAAAGCGTTTGTCCACCTCGAATAAGTCAGGCATGCCCTTGAGCATATTACCGTCTGCTCCCGCCTCTCCTCCTACACCCGCTCCCTCGCCCACGCCTTATCAACGAGCTCCTAGTTGGACCTCTGCAGGCGAAAATGAAGACTCCTTTCTCCGGGACGCCAGGGGCCATTTTTCCAATCTGAACGCTGCAGAACGAGAGAGATATCTGGCTGAGTTGCTCAACATGTGCGACAGCCACCTGCTTTCCTTTGTTCACAATTTTGTGTCTCCCAGACTGAAGAAAGACCCGTTTGAGCATCTTCCAGACGAGCTCTGCTTAAGGGTATGTGTCACGTCTGTTTGCGAGATCCGGATCAACTGACCCAGACACAGGTATTATCATATATCGATGATCCTCTTAGCCTGGCGCGAGCCTCCCAGGTTTCACACCGATGGCACAAACTCTTGAACGACGATATGCTCTGGAAGATAATGTGCGATAAGCACGCCTGGCGAAGAACGTCGTCCGTAGGCCCGAGTGATGACCTGGACTCGCCATCCCCCTCTCAAGCAAGCCAAGGCCCGTATGCGTTCAATAGCCGATCTCCCAAACGGAGCCTCGACGGTTCTCTAATCGGCCCTTCAAGCAGTGCACCGAACCTGACGCTACCTAAACAAGATGCCCTGTCGACCAGCCCTCGTGCTAGGAAGCGAGTGTCACAGTCGCATTATTCTCATTTCCGGCACAAATACATGATTGAGGCTGCTTGGAGGAAAGGTGGTGAAAGCGTCATCAAGCATATAACTCCAGATCAAGGAGTGGTCACCAGCCTACATCTGACGGACAAATATATCGTGGTGGCTATGGACAATGCCAAAATTCATGTCTTCAATACAATGGGTGAACATCAGAAAACACTGAAAGGTCACGTCATGGGCGTCTGGGCGATGGTACCTTGGGACGATATTCTAGTATCTGGGGGCTGCGATCGTGATGTGAGGGTATGGGATATGAAGACAGGCAGAAGCATTCACGTATTGAGAGGCCACACTTCGACGGTCAGGTGTCTAAAAATGTCCGATGCCAACACGGCCATTTCCGGTTCCAGAGACACGACATTGCGAATATGGGATCTACAGTCTGGGGTCTGCAAGAATGTGCTGGTAGGCCACCAAGCCAGCGTCCGTTGCTTGGCCATCCATGGCGACCTTGTCATTTCTGGGTCATACGACACCACGGCTCGAGTTTGGAGCATATCTGAAGGCCGCTGTCTTCGAACACTTACGGGTCATTTCAGCCAAATTTACGCCATCGCTTTCGATGGTAACCGCTGCGCCACTGGCTCGCTTGATACCAGCGTGAGGATATGGGATCCGAAGACCGGTATGTGCACCGCCATTTTGCAGGGCCACACCTCCCTGGTGGGGCAGCTGCAGCTTCGCGGTGACACTCTTGTTACAGGTAAAGTCATCAACTTTGACCCTGCTAAATCATGCTAAAACCGGTTCACTAATTGGAACACAGGTGGCTCCGATGGATCCGTTCGTGTTTGGTCGTTAAAAACTAACTCGCCTATCCATCGTCTGGCTGCACACGATAATAGTGTTACGAGTTTGCAGTTTGATGACAACCGAATTTTGAGCGGTGGCAGCGACGGACGTGTCAAAGTCTGGAGTGTCGAAACTGGTCAACTTGTTCGCGAGCTTAGTCAACCCGCTGAGGCTGTATGGAGAGTGGCTTTCGAAGAGGAAAAGGCCGTCATTATGGCGAGCCGATCAAACCGGACTGTTATGGAGGTATGCGTCAAGAGCGTTTCTAAATCGTTCACGCTGCTAATCTTCTTTGCAGGTGTGGTCTTTTTCACCGCCAGATGACCCAGTGGATCGACGGTCGGAGAGCCCTCTGAGCATGCCTGAACAAGTACCACCGGCCGATGATGAAGACGAGCCGACTCAATTCCACCACGAAATCGGTGATGTTGACGCGACCATGAGCGACGTTTAGGGATCGACCGCCAACCGGAGACGCCACGCCACATCGAACCAACCGAGGCGTTCGGAACGAAACATGAGACGAACGGCCCTGGAACGACCAATGGGACGAACGACTCTGGACGACAGAGGATGACCTTAACCACAAAAAGAAAACCTCAGCGGATAATCTGTGCATGAAGGAAACCGTGCGAAGGCAAAGCCAGTAGCGGGACCTTACCAACATCCTGTTGCCAGCCATGTCTCAAATTTGGGATCCCAGAAATATAGAGGACAGAACAAACGAAATCCAATGATCGAAAACCCGTGCTGACAATACTCTGTGGGAGTCGTGTTTGGGAGTTTAATATTTGCACATCAATATGGCAGTATGGAGACTCCCCCTTGAACGGTCTTTTTTCTCGAAAGCATAGCGATTGGTGCAGGAAAGCCCAAGGGATAGCCGGCATGAATCTATCTTTATGGATATTACTCATATTGATGTTGAACGAGAAGAGCATGGGTACGCTGGTATGCTTAAAACGGAAGCAGGGTTTCTAAGCAGCATGGGTCTCGAGCGCCCACATGGCATTAAATGGCAAAGTTTGAAATGATATACATTATTCCCCCCCCCTGAGTTCTGAGCAGATTCAATGGTATAGTTTCATGATTGTCCCGTTCCTTCTCCTTGGTTCGCGGTCAATGCGGACGGCCGCGCGAAGACTACCTCGACCAAGAGCCAACCTCTAGTGAAACGGCCGGAAAGGAAAACGACGCAGATGCGTGACATGAAATCAACTGACGGGGAGGCCTGCAGGCACTTGTACTCACGTTGGTGCAAAATGTCGAACGGTGCAGGTATATAATTAATATGTTGATGGGGTCCTATCAAAGCGCGTCTATTCCCCCCTGTCCATGTAGTATGTAAGTGTGTATGTAACCAGGGACTTATATAGTAAATAGTTACTCCGTACCTGGTTTACCCTCATTCCTGGGGTAAAGAAATACCGAGAGCCCAAAAAAAGTAGCTTCAAGTCCTGCTGTAGATCTATCGAGTACATATGGACTTGCCTCCCCCCCCCGCCCCCGGGGGGCATTGGAATCAACGATGATATTAGACGACAAAGGGAGAGAAGAGAAGAGGCCCTTGTCTGCCTACCTCCCTACTCCCCGCTCCACGCCACGTTGAGCCGGGGAAACGGGGATAGGTTGGGAGTTCAGGGGAAAAGGTTCATGGGTGTTTGGACTCTTCTGCTTTGCCCTGCTCGAGTCTTTCTCTGCTAGTACCCAGAGGCCCTCGAGCACACCCGGCCCAATCTTCATGGATCCGAATCGTACACTTCCTGTTCCATACTAAAATAACCCGGTGTCAGAGCAGCAGCTTAATTTGCCCGCCGCTCTGCTGCAATTTGGTAGATATCCGGGTATTTTTCTCAGGCCGAGAGAGTGCACAGGAAGATTCGAAAGCGCATGAGGGAAGACCGCGCAGGATAGCCATGTCGAGGAGGGGATGCATCTTGGTCTATGGCCGGTAGATGATGATCTGATCTGATGATCTGATTTGATTTTGTGGAAGGTCGTGTTTGTTGCCAAATTCTTATGAAGAGGATTTTGTGAATGGCTCGTGCAAGCCAGGTAGGTAGGTAAGTGAAACAAACTCCTCAAGAGAGGTAGATATATGCTCGGAGGCAGGAAATGTCTGTATGTGATCGTATCGTTTCGTGGAATGTTCAGGTTCGTCTTTTCATTATTGAAACTGTTCGGAGGCAGGCGTAACACTCCAGATCTTTGAATCGAGGCTAATAGCGTGGTTTTCTTTCCTGGATCCTTGGATGGAGTCCTGGGAAACTTCCGTGCAGATGACGATCTAGTGACCACCAGTTGTCGGCAAACCGAGCCAGACCTTGAAGGAATCATAGCTGTACCACGGTTAGCATGTCTGTTTTGATCAACTAGTTCTCACGGTTCCGAGGGGTTTTCGGAGTAGGGCGAGATCAAGACATACATCAGCCATTGGAATCCCGTCAATGTACCAATCATGACGATTCTGACTGGTAGACCGTTCCACAGACCTGTGAATCCAATGTTGCCGTAGATTCGACTCATGGCTTTTCCTGCGGATTCGCCAGCTAACAACGAGTAAGCCCATATCCAGGTTACGACGGGGAGCTGGCATGACATACCTTGGCGGTCAGAGTTCAACTTGCTGACCATGACATCGGCAGGATGGCTGACAATGGCGCAAGCAATACCAGCAATATAACCAGCCAGGAAACTCACACCGGTCTGCTGCAGACTGTTGTAGCTCTCCTTGGGCTTGCCGAGTTGTCGATAGATGAGCTTGACAGTCTCTTCAAAGGTTGCGAACTTGCACATCGTGTACGGGATTTGACGGCCCCAGAGAGGGTAAAGACCCTTGTACAGCCCAGCAATGCCCTCCTTGTCGACAATCTTGGTCCATCCCTCACGCAAGTTGTTCGCGTATGGAGGCAGTGTCGTCTGCATGCGGACTTTGATGGCTTCCCATGGACACAGGAGCACGTCTGCAATGAACTCTGCCGTGGCGCTGGCGCCCAAGTAAACTAGCGTGCGGTTGCTGTGGGGGAACATGTTGTCGCCATACTGGTGCTTGAAGATTTCGTAGAAGCCGTATTTTCCGAGGCCTTGGAAGGAGTAGCCGACGAACGTCGGGGTCCAGCCAAAGAACACACCACGCACGCCTTCTTTTGCATAGATGGAACTCCAACCTTGAAGGTTTGATTTATAGATCTTGGGGTCGACTTGACGGCGGGTTTTGACGAGATCGAGAGGCGTGACAAGGGTATGTGTAGGACCACATGCTACAACACCGCCCAGCATGCATGCAGCGAAGTATTTCGTCTGGTGAAAACACTGTTAGTCTCTATTCCGTCCTAGTGTACGCAAAAAGAAGAGGTTTGGAATGGCCGGCGGTCTCGGAAGTTGGGACGTGAGGTTCTGGGACCACCAATAACCACGATATTGTGAGCTCAACGGATACTTCAGGTTGCGGATCGAGGCCCTGGTAAAAGCCATTCGAGTGTGAACACGTACCGAATACGGCTCAATCTTTCCCAGCGGGTATTTTTTCAGCACCTCGGCAGAGGGTGGCTTGAGGGTGGTTTGTGTTGCCATGCTGGTCACTTAAACAGACTTTCTGTGGGCAAAGACAGTAGACTGAGGCAGACAATCCTTCAGCTATAGACAATGATCTTGTTGAGACGGCCGCTGTTCTTCCTCCAAGCGAGTTCCCAGTTCTACCACGGAGCACGTGCGCCAGAGTCAGTGATAGGACAAAGCAAGATTTCAACGCGAGATTAGAAGGTATAATAGGAAAGAAGTGCACGATGAGAGGAGATTAGAGCTTTGTCGCACAACGTGTTTCTGTAAGTTGCAAGTCAATGCAGAAAGGAAAAGGTTGCAAGTTGGGAAAAGAAAAAGAGCATGAAGGGCCTTAAGAAGCTGCCCATGTGCAAATGAGGAAAGCACCTCCAGATATGGCTCATGGTAGCCGCGCCTGCCGCAGCAGCCGTGATAGCTTGCCCTTGCTGCGCAGATCCGGGAGCTCGAAGAATGCAAGATCTCCTGGAGCTTGATGCGTGGTGCCTTGAGGGCTGCGGCATACATCATCACCGCTGATGCCGCCATGGCGCCCGGGCCAATCCATTCCGAATCGGGTTCGACACAGCCGGGAAATCCGGAAATGGGCCAGTGACATCATGCGCATCAAAAGCTTAACTGGAGCTAGCGGATGCTTATTCATCCAGCTTCAACATCTCACTCAGCCAACCAGCAGCCTAGACATTGTTCCTCTTTGAGGATAGACTCGACCATACCTTTTGCCTGGTGCGTCGGGTGTCCCGCATGTGCATATACATAGGGATATATATAAAATGAAGTCCTGCAGCCCTTCCCCCAGATCCATATCTATGAGGGCAGTCCCATTCCAAAATGGTGCGACGGCCCAAGGACGCCACTATTGCTCTCGGGCGGGAATAGTTGATCCCATTCGGCCTGCAGAAGAAACCTCTCATGTCAGCGCTGCAATCACACATGTCAAGCTACGAACAGATCGTGCACTCACCCAGTCAATGTCAAGCATGACAGAATCATTTCGGTTATTATTCTGAAACTGAGGGATGTTGATCTGATCACTCGGAAAGCCCGAGTTAATCCCAAAGGGGCTGCCACCCGCGGATGAGGGCTGCCTTGGTACAACACCAGGGAGTGCTTGAATGGCTTGTGGGGGCGGCGAAGCCTGTGGACCTGGTCCCACCACCGTTCGCCAGCTCACTTGATCTGTCGTGATCAGTGGCGGCCAAGATTCGTTGGTCCCCGAGTCGCTGGGGCTGTTAAAGTCAATCTGCTGACCTGGCGAAGGCTGATTTGTGTCTGCCCAGGGCGGCGGTGTTTGCTGCGGCGGCGGTTGTGACTTTGATTGTGACTGTGATAGCAGGGGCGAGTGTTGCCGTGCAGACGGAGGTGATGAAAACTGTGACGTTGCGAAGCGTGTGAGATGGGCCGCATCTCCGGCTGGCAGGTATTTCGCGTCAATATACATTGTTGCCGGGGTATCAAAGCTCCAGGGCTGGTCGGCCGAGAACCTCATGTCTCCTCTGGCCGCATTCGGTGGGGACGTAGCCCTGATGGCTGATGGGTGCAGCGAGCCGGATGCATCGATTTGGCCTTTCTCCTGCGTTGGTTCGGAGCTCTTACGGTGAACTTTGTCCAGACCATCCTTCATGCTAACGGGGATTCGAATCCTCCGCAGGTCTCGATAAATCGCCGTTCGATCCCTGACTGCCGCAATAATCGCCCTGGCTCGTTGGGTCCGCGACAGAGACAGATCTGGCTCAAACACAAAATCGATCACATTCCATATTCGCTCCGCGTCCCGAAGCGTCGGCTCTTGATAGATGACTGATAGCAGCAAAAAGGCAATGTGCCACTGCTGGTAAGCTCCGTTATACCATTTCCATCTCCTTAGTTCTGGGATTCGTTCCATTGCAACAGCAT